TATGATTTGTCAGCCCACACGAGAAGGATAAGGAACTGAAATCGGCCTTACTACGCAGTATTTGTGTTCTGGCCTAAAGCCTCACGTAAGAAACGAAAATGCCAGAGCTATGGAGACCAAGCACTGTGTGTATCCACATTTAAAAGATCACTGTAGCGCTACAAAATCGTTTTAAACCTCCCTCGACACATCCACTTGACTCCTGCGCCGTCAGTAGCTAACCAAAAAAGGAGTATGGTTGTGCCGGTGCTTTGTCCTATGTCGCTGCTGAAGATCCATGATGCTAAAATGATGCCAAGGAGTAGTAAGAAGTAGCGCTGATTTCATGCAGAAAGTTGAAGTTTCCAAAAGTTGCCCGCTGGGGCATTCATTCACTCTATGATTCGTTCATTCGTTTCAATGGTAAATTGGTGCTTGAGCACGCCAAGAAGTCGAAACCGCCATCAGCTCGCTTTCAAGCAATTTTCAAAAGACGAAACTAGCGGTAGCCTGGCAAACTCTCAAACACTTTCACAATCACAGACAATAAATACTGAGAGGGTTTCAGCTTTTTCACTCATTATTTTGGTCTTCGTCACAGTCATAATATCAAATTCAAGAATTTTTAATACCAACATTGATTTCAGGCTATGCTTTGCCACACGCAATTTTACGTTTGGATTTGGCGGGCCGAGATTTGACAGATTATCTGATGAAAATCCTCACTGAGCGAGGTTACTCGTTCACAACCACGGCCGAACGTGAGATCGTCCGTGACATCAAAGAAAAACTGTGCTACGTTGCGCTGGACTTCGAGCAAGAGATGGCTACCGCCGCATCTTCGTCTTCGCTCGAAAAGTCCTACGAATTGCCTGATGGCCAGGTGATCACCGTTGGAAATGAGCGATTCCGATGCCCAGAATCCTTATTCCAGGTATCACTGTTTCTGGATGTAAGAAATCACTGAATTTTGCATGTTTTCAGAGATTTTGGTTTCATTTGTTCCAGAAGCACAAGCTTTGATTGAAAATGGAATTTCTATTCTTCCTTTTTGGAGTTTTTCTTAAAAAAATCGATTTTAGCCGTCTTTCCTGGGAATGGAATCTGCTGGCATCCATGAATCTTCATACAACAGTATCATGAAATGCGATATTGATATCCGAAAGGATTTGTACGCTAATATTGTGCT